CAGTCCATTATCATTTTTCCATGCTCTACCACATTTTTCGCAAACCCAAGGCCGTGGGGAATTATCATTTCCAGTAGCTTGCTCCGCGTTTCCTTTTGGCCTATCCTCACCCTTTTTCGGTCGGCCGCGTTTCCTCCCGGTGAGTAGGCTCTCGGCAGTGTTATTGGGTTCCAGTTCATCATCAACGTCCATTCGGCTATTAAGCTCTTCGTTTTCGGCATCAGCATCAACGGTCCTGGTCTGGACTCTCCGGGTGGAAGATCTTGTTGGCCTGGTTCTTGTTGGCCGTGCATGTGTCGCCACATCTGTCTGTGCCCTTGCAAGAAGTTCTTCGAGGGCTGCCGGTGATACTTTGAGAGTCACCACAAGGGTAGCAGCCTTTTGAGTTTCAGATGCAGCATCATCCCGCTGATTTTCATCAATTTCAGGTGGCGCTAGTGATTCAAGCGCTGGTGTTTCTAGAGGTAATTCGGGTTCTTGAACAATTGTTTCTGGGATCTGCGGAATCACTACTGCTTCGGTGACTTCATCCTCTTGCACAACCTCCTCTTGTGGTAAGACTTCTGGTGTTGGAGCACGTCGTTTTCGGCCTCTTTTTGCCTTTGGTGTTGGTGCAAGCTTCCCCTTCTTAGCTTTGGAGGCCTTAGGGCGGCCGACTGATTTTCTGTTGGTCATTCCCATGCTGCAAAGCTCGGCCAATGTTGGCGAGTTCTCATGGGATATCGATGACGAGGGTAGCGAGGGGAAACCATAGATATCCGCAGGAGTCGGTATTGATTCTTTGCCAGCGACACCAGCCGCTGATTGAGGAGCTTTTGGTGCAAAGTAACGATAAGAGGCAACCTTTCCAGATCTCGTATGTTCGCTATAAATCTGAAAATGTGCCAGGTGAGGTGGTTGTAGGTCAGGAATCGCCAATGCAGTGGTCATCGAGGAAAGATGTCGACTGTATGAAGGGCCTAAGGTCAAGGCATAAACATCCGGGTTTGTGAGTCCGACGTCTCCTAGTCGTTTTGCCATCTCGGCGATTATAACAGGAATCGGCTTGTCCAAAGACCATGGCGGGGATTTGGATACTTCGGAAACGTTGGAGGCTTGACCTATGAGCTGCTTGTTCCCATCATAACCATCCAGATCTGGGTTTCTTGGAGTCTTGCTCTTTCTCTTGCCTGTTGAAAGATACAGAGACCAATCTTCTGCGTTGAGATCTCGGACATATTTGACACAGTCCTTGAATACCTTTTCTCCTAGTTTCGCTGCGACATACTGTATAACGCCTCGCTGGTTGAGAAAGCGGCACACTTTAGCCAGGACCTTCATCTGCCAGCGCATCCCTAACACGCCGAGTTTGGATTTCATGTCTTTCATCTGGAGAACCCCCCACTCCTTGACGATGGCCATGATGGTCGTGGCCAATGCTATGTAGTCGATGGATTCACCAGTCCATCGTACGCGCCAAGGGACGGGTTCGAGATCTTCGACAAGGACTTGCCGAGTTAGTGTCATGTCTGGCCGTGCTTCGTCTACACCCTCGCCGTCTTTTGGTAAAGGAGGGGCGAATAGCTTCAGCCACATCTTACTCGTCTTTGTGCCGCGTACAAGCGTTGTTCTCTTGACGATGTATCCTTTCTTAAGGAGACTATCTGTTCTTTTTGGCACACTGCGCTTGTCTTGATCTGTCAGACGCCCAAGATCTCCCTGAAGGATACCTTGGGTAGTGGTCGAGGCTATGCCTAATAGTAGCATCCATTCAGACTTGGGGACTCGCTTGTAGTCAACTGCATGGCCTGTAAGAGACTCCCACATTGTGTCCTCAGAGGCGTAGACCCGAACATGGTGGGGTTCTGTAGGTTCTACATTTTGTCCAGGGGTACCACCAGCAGTTGAAAGCGCCAGTACTTGGTCTAGAGTTAGGTGATTATACTCGCGATCAGCGCCGACAGAAATATCCCGTCTCGCAGTGAGCCAGCTCCAAATGGTCGCGGCAGTGCGGGCTTGCACAGCAGAATCGCCCTCAGACAATGATTCTGTTTGGGTCGAGGGATGTTGAATAGCTTTCAAAACTCCATCCACAGGACAGCCTAGAGTGAAGCAGTTAGTGATTGGTTCTTGAGTAGCGGCAGGAATTGAAGTAATAAACTTGCCCTCTTCGCCATGGCATGAGATATGAACCAAAAGGCCCGCGATCAAGCCTTCGAGCTCGGATGCCATTTTATTCCATGTATCCTACAGTTCATTCTCGAGTCGATGCGACGCGTAAAAAAAAACTTGACGAAATTGGTCTGGGGCGAATTGAACTGATGAGCCCCGGCGGAAAGATCTTGTTGCTGCACGAAAGAATGATGAAGTGGGGATGGCGGGACCTGAAAAGGTGGAGGACTCAAAGAGCCGCATGAGCTAGAAAATGATGACATAAGCTTTTCCCCATTTCAAATTCTCAATTCTGAAGCCTTGGAGTTGCACATTCAAAAGTCAACTGAAACAGGTGAAACCATGAAGTAGAGGTCTTGAGCTTCTAGATTTCCTCCAAATAACTAGATCGGGTAGAAGATAGTTTAAAAGATTGCTTAAACACGAAGTACCAAATTACCAAACGACTAATGTCTTATAGCATGATAATCGTAACAGCATTGGATGGATATCCGCAAAATAGAGGCTCTGGGTAGTCATAGTTGATATTGCATAAACACATCAATTACACGAGAGCTCAAATTTCCTTCAATTGCTATAATCTAACATATTATATTAACTACATTCCTTAGGTCGATGATTTAAGGATCTGTTATTAACCCTAAGGGATTAAGATATTACTGCTTAATACTTAAGAATAGTATTTCAGTTTAGTATTACTTTAAGATAGTATTAGAATTAAGGTTTAGGCAGTAAAGTATCTTATATTTAAAGATAATTAAATTAAATAATTAATAATCTATTTAATTATTATAGCTAGTTATAAATACCTTCCTTATTAGCTTTTATACCTATATTTTAGCTAACAGGGTTATACCTTTAATAAGGTCTGCAATCTTATTCTAGCTAATCTTAAGGTTATAGTTAAGTAAGGGTAATTTTTATATATTTAGTTAACTAATAGTTACTAATTATAGGTTTAATATCTTAACTATAATTAAGGTTAGTATTATTAATTTAATATTAAGGTAAAAAACTTATTAATAATTAAGGCTTATTTAGTTTCTTAATGATTTTATAATTATTAAAATAAGTATTTATAGAAAATAAATAAATTAAGAAAGGTTAAAGTAATAGAGAAATTATAGACTTTATTAATTAAGCTTTTTATAGCTTTTTAGCTAATTAGGTAATATATTTATCTTAATTAGAGTTATCTAAGATATTATAGCCTAAAGGTAACCTTATTAATTAAGTTTATTAAGACTTTAATCTAGCTAGAGACTTTATTATTAATACTTTTATAGCTTATTAGAATACCTAGATTCTATTTATTGGTTATTACTGGGTTAAAGCTATATAATATTATTAACTACTATACTAAAGAGGCACCTTGTATTATCTTGTACCTTATATGTACGGGCAGATGGTCCGCCGAGCCCCCAATTTGAGTTGCGATCTAGGGGTTTTTCTTTCTGCCCAACCATGAATCTATCAAACCTTACTTTAACATTCTCACAATACGAATGATCCGACAACGCCGCAAGAATTGCCTTGACAGATCCAACAGCAGATATGTCAATAAATAGTGTCTTGTCTACAGACGAAGCCATTGAGAATCTCATTTCCACTTTCAATGAACTCAATAGCAATAGTATCGATGAACTCCACAACGAACCAAGCCCCCTAGAATTCATGCGATATGTTGCTCGCAACACGCCCTTCGTCATAAGGGGCGGGGCTTCGTCATGGAAAGCTTGCCAGGATTGGAATTCTGCGTATCTGCTCTCTGTGATGAAGGGGCAGAATGTAAATGTTGCTGTCACGCCATATGGGTTAGTTCCCTCTGCTGGATCCGAACAGTAAAGGGAGTTGTTCGCTGACTCTGACAGCAATGCTGATATGCCTACTGTGCCTCCTGATAAAGAATCTATGGTCTTTGCTAAGCCTCACTATGAGGATCAGCCCTTCGAAGAGCTACTTGAGTATGTAGCACGCCAAGGCGCCGATCCTGATTTTCCTCCTGATGCCGAAGTGCGATATGCCCAGACTCGTAAGCTGGCCTATTTCTCTCCCAGATGCGTTACTGAAAGTCCTCAAGAAAATGATAACCTGCGTGAAGAGTACATGACTCTCTTCTCAGACGTACAAAAGGACTTCCCTTTTGCAAGAATAGCACTAGACAAGAGCCCCGATGCCGTAAACCTATGGATCGGTAACTCCAAATCTGTTACAGCTATGCACAAAGACAATTACGAAAATATTTACGTCCAGATTCTAGGGCGAAAGCACTTTGTTCTACTACCTTCTTTATGCCACCCCTGCGTCAACGAGCAACCTCTCAAGCCCGCAACGTACACGCGCGGAGAGAATGGCATGGAGCTAAAGACTGATCCTGACGATGAGGCTGTTCCTTTCGCAATTTGGGATCCGGATAAACCTGAACAGAATGCCACAAAGTTCTCCCATCTTGCCCGGCCTTTACGAGTAACATTGGACCCCGGAGATATGCTTTATCTTCCTGCTATGTGGTAAGTCATTTTACAAGCCCTGTTTTTCCCGCTAAATATCAATTACTAACATCGTTTAGGTATCACAAAGTGCTCCAATCGTGCGCCGAGGAAGACGAAGGGTTCGTCCTCGCCGTCAACTACTGGTACCAAACCACATACTTTTAATTACCCCTGCAATGCTAACCAGAACCCTTAAACTAGGTACGACTTGGACTTTACAGGTCCACTTTATCCTACATCGACTTTTGTTCGTGATATAAGCTTGGGAAATAGGAAGTAGTCTAGAAATCCGCCCCACACAGCATAAAACCAAAACACCAGATCTATATCCACGCCTCACCATGTTGCCACCCATAATTACTTCTTCTTCTTGGCAATTCTCTTCTGCGCCCGCAGTTCCTTCTTTTGTCTGGCGTCAACGATGCGATATCTCCCCTTAATCCCCTTAGGACGGCCTTTGATGCCCCGGTTGAGACCACGGGCGACAACGAGCTTGGGCTGTTGCTTTTGGGGCTTCTTTGCTGCTCTCGAGATAAGGCGCGATATGCTGGCAGCCTTCTCCTTCTCAGTCATATTTTCGTCATTGTTGAGTAACTCCGACTTCTTCTTGAGCTTCTCCAGCTTCTGAGCGGCCTTGAACTTCTTGCGAGCCTTAGCCTCGCGCACCTTCTTGATGGGGCGAGCATTAAAAGCTCGCAGCTTCTCTTTGATTGCTTGCGCAGCAGCCTTGCTGATGGGTTTCTGAAGCTTGTCGTGTCGTGATTCATCTTCGACAAACCAATCTGGTAATCCATCACGATCGCGGAAGGCGTACTTGTTGTAGCCGTCATCAATAGCATCATGTGTTGTCGTTTGACCAGTAGCAAGCCTGTGAGCAAGGGACATTGCTTCGGCAGTGATAATGTCGATATCTGTACAGCTGTTAATACTGTGTGCCATTGTCTGAGAAGTCTTACACTTACCGGGTCTTCCATCGGCTCGTCGGGTGTCCTTGTCCCAATCGTCATCGTCATTTCGCTTCACAATCTCAAACCCATCCTCATTGTCCTCCATCTCAGCATCAGAGTCGACTTGGACCGCTTTGGTCTTAGTAGGCGTAGCAGGAGACTCGGCTTTGCGATTCTTTGCTTGCTGGGCCATAATAGCTGCCGCATCTCGATTGACTTCTTCGTCCGCACTATCCTCAGCTGCATCTTCCTGCTCAGGTAACATCCCGCTTATGCCTGAGAAGATGTCTTGGTTGAAGAAAGCTGTTGCTCGTTTGGATAAGCCGTTCGCCCCCTTTGAAGAATCCAGATCGCGGATGAGTCCCTCTGTAGGAGCTTCGTCTTCTTCGTCGGAAGAGGAATCGTCCTCTTCAAGCTCCGAAGAGTCATCTTTCTCATCTGCTTCCTCACCAGACAGACCATCCCACTCATCATCACCAAAATTCTTACGAGCCTTCTTCGCTCGGTACTTCGCGTCAACCTCAGCCTTGCGCTCCTTATACTGGTCGTACATGGACTCAAGCTCTCGCTCCAGGCGATCTTCTTCAGGGTCACTCTCATCATCCGTCTCTCCTGATGAGCCAAGGCCACTGTCGGCCTCCTTCTGGGTCGTTGGAGTGGGAACAATCATCTTGCCGCGATTCAATCTTCGCATGGCGTCTGTCTTGTCAACTTTCTTGAGTGAAAACATTGCCCCCTCGCCAATTGGTCCGCTTTCTTCTAGACCGATGTCGAAAGGCGTACCCATGTTGAGTTGCATACGCACCACCTCACGTTGTTTTCGCTCGTTTTCTTTTCGCTTCTCTCGTTTTCGTTTGGTGTTTTCTCGGTCCTTCATGCTTTGTAGTTCTTCCTGTATCTTGAGTTCCTCGTCCATGGACTCAACTTCAGCTACCTCCTCGAGTTCCTCAACCGTTGCGGCCTGAGGGGTTTTGAGTTGGAAGATGTCTCTGATTTTTAACCGCCATCTGAGCAGAAGTTTGAAGTCTTTTCGTCCCAGCACTCGTAAATCAGAGCAGCAGTTTCGGATTTCATCTGTCGTCTCCGGAAGTTTGTCGAGAGCCGCCAGTGCAACGTCTCCATTGGGTGGTTGTTGGAAAGTCAATTTGTTGTATGAACCAAGAACAGCAATTGGATCTGTTGTTTGAATGAATTCTGAGGCCGCCATCTCCTTGAACTGTGTGTAGTCTCCTTCCTCATAACCATCTCGCTTTCGTTTCTTGACTTCGGGGTTATAAACTTTAGCCTCGTTGTTAGGATTTGGGCCCTGGACTTCAGCAAAAACATAGGCCGGGTCCAGGAGTCGTGAGTCGAGCTTTTTGGGAGCTTTGAACCCTTGACACACAATACTGCACACCAAGAAACTTCTGTTAGCCACGGATATCAGGAGGATCGTTTGATATGCTATACGCACAAAATTTCTGCCGAAACTGCACGACTAGAGACCGGCTTTGTTGCTTCAACCTTAGTGAAGAGTTGTTTGCAAACCCACAATAAGGGGAAATATTGTTTGGAACGGAACACTTTTGAGCAAAACGTGCCACCTTCGACTAAAAATTCCACGGCGAGCCGTAAACTCTGTAAAGCGAGCTGGGAGAGGAATCCAGTTAGTTTGTTTTACTCAATATGTGCGAATTGTACTAACCTCAGCTTGATTGAACGAGTCCTGAATCCAGGCAGTTCCGACATTTGGCGCTCCATCATGTAACACTGTATCAACTTTCAATGTTTTCAGGTGCTTCTTGATCGTGTTTCGGCAGTCAATGCCTGTGATGTCACTTTGCCAAGTTATGGCTCGGGGAATTGGCTTAATGGCATCTAAATCAGTCCCAAGCAAAAGTGATCCCGCCGGCATTTGCTCTGAAGCCACCTGTAACCATGACTATTAAGGTTTTACGTCAGTCAAGGTCTTAGTAGCGTGTTGTGGTACTCACTCCGGGTGCCGCGCAAAGATCCAGTAGGACTCTGCTCTTCTCAAGGAAGCCATACTTCTTATTGATCTGGATCAGCTTGAAAGCGGCGCGGGCCCGGTACCCACGCTCCTTCGCAAGCTTGTACCACTTGTCGAGACGCCCTTTTCCATGCTGGTTTCATTGTTAGGCTGCTCGGTGAAGAAAAGAATCGTTGACTTACCTTCTTCTGAATCGCCATCTCGGCTGTCTGCGAAAGCCCTTATCCGTAGACTCCGGGCTTCCTATGAGAGTTTTGGCAGTATAGACGAGGTCGTAGTCCAAAGGAAGCGGTATTAGGATGTTGTGTTGAGTATGTTGAAGAGAAGGACGACACACGATCTTCCTCGAGATTCAGAAAGTTTGGCCCCACCAGAAATTTTGCGACCGATAAGCCAATCACGTGCAGATAAGACTAAAGCCTGGTCTCTTGTTTCTGGGACATAGATCAATTATTATCGACATTGATATCTTGGGCGATCGGTGAGTTAAACTCTGGGTCCTTAGAGCAGTACTTTTCCTTTGGTTCGAACAACAAAGCTGATGTTTTTGAGACCTTGCTTTTGTTAGTTGCTGAAATGCTTGGCAAGATTATCAGTGAACTCGAGGTCGATAAGCCACTATAATACAGTGGGGCTGATTACCTAACTCCCGCATTAGCTTCTCGCTCTCGAAATGGCGGCACGAATGATATCAGAAGTTATTGGAAGAACAGACCACATTAAAAAGCGGCTCAACTCACTCGACCTTGAATGCTCCTCGCCTGTCTCGGTCATTACCACCAACAACTCGGGCGCGTCGTCGGCCCTCACCATCAAGACTTTGATCTTGAACTATCGCAAAACGGCCAGCGACAATCATGAGCGGACGAGTCCTCGCTGCAGGGCTGCGGCCTCTCCCACGCCGCGCTGCGGTTCTTCCCGTTAGACACCTGCATCGCCAATCTACTGGCGGACTTCTTCAAGCCGATGCTGCGATACGAGCCACCCGAAAGCGAATGTGGCAGGGTGGAAATGCATTTCACAATGCTGTTACTACGAGGAATGCCTCCTTCGCGAGGTTTTTGCCCAAGCTGATGGTCAAGTTTCTAAGGGTGCCGGCAATGTTTGGCGGTGTGGCCATCGGTGCTTTTGCTTGGGTACAATATCAAGCTGCCCGTACGTCAAGACTCGGATAACAAAGTTGCCAACGTTTTCACTAACTTAACGCAGAGGCTGGTACATTCGCCGTGAATTTATTCAACACAACTACGGATACTATATCGAGTACGGCTTCGAGCTTTTTCGGAGGTGCCAAGGATATCGCCGATCAGGTCAACCGAGGATGGGAAAGCACGAAAGAAAAAGCAGAACTACCTGACTGGGTCAAACAACTCTTTAAAATTCAAGAAGATATCGGTACTGGCGGTTCGGGAGGTTCGGGCGGTGGTGGTGAGCCAAAGCAGAGCAAATTCGGTGCCGCAGCTGCTGTTGGTGCCTCAGCCGCCGCCTACGGATACGACAAGTCGGATGAAGAGGACCCTCGAAATGGCGAACAGGCGGCCAAGGATGACCAAATGATGGTTCTGACCAAGAAGATGATCGAGATCCGAAGCATTCTCCAGAGAGTTGGCCAGTCAAGCACTCTCACACTTCCTTCTATCGTCGTTATTGGCTCTCAGTCCTCGGGAAAGAGCTCCGTCCTGGAGGCCATCGTTGGCCACGAGTTTCTTCCCAAGGGATCCAATATGGTTACAAGGAGGCCGATCGAACTCACACTTGTCAACACACCCTCATCCAGGGAAGAGTATGGTGAATTCCCGGATCTCGAATTGAGGCGCATTTCCGACTTCGGATCTATTCAGCGAACGTTGACTGAACTTAACCTTGCCGTTCCTGATAGCCAATGTGTCTCCGACGACCCGATTCATCTTACAATTTATTCCCCCAACGTTCCCGACCTGTCACTTATCGATCTTCCCGGCTACATCCAGGTTGTTGGTCAGAACCAGCCTCTAGAACTGAAACAGAAGATTTCCGAACTCTGCGACAAGTACATTCAACCTCCCAACGTCATCCTCGCCATTTCAGCTGCTGATGTCGATCTTGCAAATTCCACTGCTCTTCGAGCATCCCGCCGAGTTGATCCCCGAGGCGAGCGAACTATCGGTGTTATTACTAAGATGGACTTGGTTGACCCTGTCCGCGGAGCAAGCATTTTGAATGACCAGCAATACCCTTTGAGACTGGGTTATGTGGGCGTTGTTCCTAAAGCTCCTCAGAACCAGGGGCTCTTCAAGATGGGTAACACTAACCTACTCTCACAAATTGTGAAGCACGAGAATGCTTTCTTCTCGTCTCACCCTATGGAGTTCGGCCCTGAGGCTGGTGTTAATGTTGGAACCCCCACGTTGCGTAAGAAGCTTATGCACGTTTTGGAACAGACCATGTCGAGCAGCCTACAAAGCACCAGTGATGCTATTCGACAAGAACTCGAGGAGGCCACTTACGAGTTCAAAGTCCAATACAACGATCGACCTCTTTCAGCCGAGTCGTACCTCGCGGAGAGCCTTGACGCTTTCAAGCACTCTTTCAAGCAATTTGCAGAGGAATTCGGCCGCCCTCAGATGCATGAGCTTCTGAAGCACGAGCTCGACCAGAAGGTTCTTGATTTATTGGCTGCCAGATATTGGAACAAGCCCATCGATGACCTTTCACCCATTAACCCCGACCTCGACAACCTTGCCGATCTTCCCAAGGCTCCTGCTGACTCCCTTTACTGGCATCGACAATTGGATGCTTCCACATCCGCGCTTACGAAGCTTGGTGTTGGACGTTTGGCCACAACAGCAGTTGCCTCTTCCATTCAGGCTCACATCGATTCTCTTATCAGCAACTCCAGCTTCGCTAGCCATCCCTTTGCCCGACAGGCTATCATGGAGGCTGCCTCTACTATTTTGAACGAGAGATTCTACAGCACCAGCGACCAAGTGGAAAACTGCATCAAACCTTACAAGTTTGAGATTGAGCTTGAGGACCGAGAGTGGACCAAGGGCCGTGATCACGTTGGAGGTGTACTCAAGAAGGAGCTCCAAGACTGTGAAAAAGCCATGAAGAACTTGGAAGACAGCGTCGGTGGACGACGAAAGATCAAGGAAGTCATGGCCTTCGTCGACAAGGCCCGTAAGGGCGAAGTCGCTGTCGAGGGTGACAACCGTAGTGGCGCTGGTGGTTTCAGCGCTGCTCTCCTGAGCAAGGGTAAGTTGACCACAAATCCCCGAATGCCTAGATACTAACGAATTCACAGGACGTGAGGCTGTTTTCTTGCGCGACAGAGCCGACATCATCAAGATGCGCCTACTGGCTGTTAAGTCAAAGCAGTGCGCTGACCCCAAGAACAAGTATTACTGCCCTGAAGTATTCCTCGATGCTGCTGCCACTAAGATGGCATCCACTGCCGTCCTTTTCCTCAATGTTGAGCTCCTTTCCGAGTTCTACTACAACTTTCCCCGAGAGCTCGACCTCCGTCTAGGACGCCACCTGTCCGAGGATCAGATTGAGAAGTTCGCCAAGGAGGATCCCAAGATTCGCCGACACTTGGAGGTTATTCGCCGCAAGGAGCTGCTTGAGTTGGTCCTTGAGAAGATGGAGAGTCTACGACAGCTTGAGGGCCGCGATCGCGAGAAAGGAAACTCCGGCTCGCGACGCGACCGCAAGCAGAGCCGATGGGGTCTGTTCTAAATGGGCGTCCCCTTTAAAAATGAGAAATGAGGTCATACTGGGAGTAAGGAGTTGAATGCTTGGTTGTTGATTTTAGAATATCACCGCAATCAGAAAGACAAGACAAAATTGCCTGAGGAACGCGGTTGTTGGGTATGCTTAAGTGGGACTTGTTGGTCTCTCTAGCTGTATCTTGTCAACATATATATGTATGCAAAACCGATCGATAGCTGGCGGATACAGAGGGCACGTTGTATGAGGATGTGTATAGAAGTGCTTGATTGCGCGCAAGGATACCCTCCTCAATAACATTGAATAGTACAATCAACTCAAATAACGTAACTGCTACCATGACGCTATATTTATGTTCTCTAGATATATGTGACTGTGTAATCATCATGTACAGAATTTATCATTATCCCTTCGACAGAAAACCCCATGCTCTTATGTACTACCTTCAGTGGTCATTTGTAATGTCACCTCCCAACGAATGCTGCCTCCATGGCCGTATCCCTCGCCCAATCTGTTCTGGATCAAGGCTGAGATGCGCTGCCGTAGCTTGCTAAGCGACATTTCATCATAGCCCTTGACAACACTCAACTTGAGGTTTGCCATGCAAAGACCATAGTGAACTTGCCAGAATTGGGCATCATCGATAGTCACCACGCTAGGTTCGGTCTCAATCTCCCTCAGAACAGCACTGACACCGTTGTTGCCTCCAGTGCCGCCGTAAGACATCAGTAGCATAAGACCCTGAGCTACGGCGAGTCTCATTCCCAGAGCAAACATGGCAAAAGCAATGACGACACAGATGAGACGGTCGAGCCATGTGTAGAGCGAGATAGAGAGTAGGGGAAGAAGAGCGATGACAGTAGAGAAGGACAAGGTGAGAAAGTGGAAAGGATTAGAGAGGACACTTGGAAGAGAAGCAAGGTACGAGACACGCATGAGTTTAGCAATGCGGGCATGGTTTCGAAGTCCATATGCCGAGACCAATGTGCTCACCATTGCGGCAGCAGACACGAGGTCAACAGAGCCATCAGGGCCTTCATGACCATGTTCATGATGAGCCTCGTGGCTACCAAGAGACTCCAGGAAGTGTTTGAGAGTGTGGGAGATCAGGTCAAAGCCTCCAAAGAGGAGGAAAACAGACATAGCGAAACCAGCGAGGACCTCTGCTCTCTCGAGGCCAAAGGGGTGCCGGATACTGCTACGTCGCCAAACTTCAAAATTGCCGAGGACATCAACCATGACACAAACAGCAGCACTACCAGCGTCAAAAAAGACGAGGTGCGAGAGGGCTGTTGTAGCAAGAGACCCTTCTGAACGGAAGAAAACATATGTAGCCACGGCAAGATGGCACATACTCCAGTAGCAATGGATGCGTTGGTCTTTTGTCATGCTCTTCCATGCTTCGCGAACGGTTGGTATCGGTAGAGAAGCGGGGAGAACGGGAGGCGGCCTCTGCGGTGGCTCTTTGAAGATCTGATGTTGTGAGGAGATACTACTGTGTTTGTATCTATGTCCGCGACGCTGTCCAATGTTCTTTCAAGAGGTTAGCATGTGTCAAAGTTACGCCATGTGTATGATCAACGTACCGACTTGACAGGCCCTGTAGAAATGACTTGCGTCTGGAAGTTAAAAGGGTTCTTGAATCCAGGGGACGCAGCAGAGTCCGCTTTATCATCTTCACCACCCATTGTCGGAAGCGATAGGGAAGACGAAGACGCAGCCGCAGGAGAGGGTGAGGGAATGAGGAGATTCGAAGTCGCCGAGTTCTGAGCGATAGCCTCGCGATTGAGTTGTCGATTTATCGCGATAGAGTCGTTCTCTCGGTCACCACCAAAATCAATGAACGCTTCGTGATTGGTGATATCGAAATCGTCGTCGCTGTCGCCCTGGATGACCAAACTCGGCGGGCGAAGGTTCTGAAAAGAAGAAGCACCCTGATAGTCCGACATGTGTCTGCTGCTGTTTTCGGATATCGCGCCTCTTGATTCGGTCTAGGTCGACGATTATCTCAGGAACCCCCTATTTCTGAACTAGAGGTTTGAGAATTATGTCATGGGGGGATTTCCCAAAGTTTGGGTCGCACAAAACCTGGTTTCGTCGATGGCGCGAGTCGTGAAAAAGAAGCCTGATGAGTTGGAATGCGTTGACGTCGCGATATCCATTACCTTAGCCATTAGGTTGTGGAGGCGGACCGATGGGGGGTAGATTAGAATCTTTCAGGGGTACTCCAGAAGATGCAGGGGTTAGACAACAGCCACAGAGCACTATCCATGTCCGGTATAGCGGGTTTGTAAATCCCTTGTCTTTGATGTGGCGTACATGGACACAAGCCTCAAAGTAGTCGTCATTAGCTTCATGTGGTTGTATCTGGCTTCAATAATTATTCCAACGTCCATAATCTTCACATGAACAAGACGGAAGGATTCTAGGAGTCATGCAGCGAAATCTCTCCCTCCAATAATGTCAACTCGCGGCATTCGACTGTTGCCATGAATAACTTACACTCGCTTCTCTGCTCTCACTCAACACCTTGACTACCACTCGTTCGAAGCCTGCGATAGCAATTCAATACGATTGCTGCGCTCGATAACTTATTTCCACTCTCGTGATGGAAAACTCTTCTAATAATAAGCGGGATACTTCACCTACGCCACCTTCATCCCGCCGACGAACCCCTTCGAATTCCAGCATCCTATCCAAGTTCCCCTTTTTAAGAACATCCCCCGAAAAACGACATGAACAATCCGAACATGCAATTGACGACAATGCTATCCCGGCTTCACCTCGCCCAGCCGCACGACCGTCAGCGAGTGTGATACAGTACCAAAGAACTCGAAGACGAAGAGGGTCACTTAGGAAAGCGGCGCTGCTTGGTCGAGGAGCACAACGTGAACGTAGGGAGAGCCGGCCGTTGAGCATTGACACTTCACATGCTGCTGCGTATGGTCTCGACCCTAATGCTTTAAAGACGGAAAGTCCATCATCGATAGATTCGTTGGACTCGAATGCTGCGTCGGCCAATGCTCAACGGAACCTGGTCAATGGATTCACCCCTCTCCCGGGAGGACTTGGGACAGTACCAGTACTTCCTCAGAATGGAACAGCATCACAAACAACTCGTCCAATATCACTTGCGGATCAAGATGGGGCATCTTACACATCAACGGACGAAGAAGATATGCTCCAGATACCGGGCAGCTCGTCGACAATTCGACAGGGCTTATCTGTGTCTTCTGGACAGGATTCATACTTTAATAGTCTAGGCTCGGCCTCATCCCACGGACGAAGGCGTCCCGTGAACCGGGCAAAGTCCCCATTATCATTCAGCGGTCTTTCATCCAACACACTCCCCGCTCACGAAGACTGGGACTACGCGGAGACAGAATGGTGGGGATGGGTTGTCCTATGCGTGACATGGTTTGTGTTCGTTGTAGGAATGGGATCATGTCTTGATCTCTGGAGCTGGGCATGGGACGTGGGAAAGACGCCGTATGCGCCGCCAGAGTTCGAGGACGACGATACTCTACCAATCGTGGGGTACTATCCGGCGTTGATCATCCTCACAGGCGTTATGGCTTGGGTATGGGTTGTCGTCGCTTGGGTTGGTATGAAGTATTTCCGGCATGCCAAAATTAGCGGCGACTAATGCGAGCGTTTGGCTATTTCTGGCTTGATATCTAGCCTCGAATTGAGTTCTGACAAGTTCTTGGCTCGATGCCATTAATGATAATAAATGACAACTTATTAATATCTTTGAACATCGTGGCTTCGGTAGTGAACTTGACAGGTTACTTTTCAGCTGCATTCATGTCTTAATTTAGCTGATAATTCCAAATCAACTGGACATTGCAGCTGTTGGTTGATCAATTGTTGGCAGCTGTGCTCTTCCTATTCCTTGTCACAGATCTCATTGGTGTTTTCAAAAGTTAAGCGCCCATACAGCGGTAACACACGCCAGGGCAGCCAATCAAATCACTGCTGATCCTGACCAACAAGTAGCGACATTAATCGTGGCATGCTCAGCGGGGTCTTTGCAAGCCTTTGACGAAGAAGTTGGATGGAACCAACGCATCAAAGTTTAACTTTGCAGTAAATTCGACCCTTTGTATGCAGGGCTCGTACTGGGCGCGATAAATCCATGGCTGTTATTCATTGAATGTTTGTGTTCCCGGGTAAGAAGCCAAGGGATGAGTGGCGATATTGAGTCTTTTGTTGCACAAGGCAGCCAAGATGATGTGTGCATTTACGACGGAATATTCCAGCATGATTAGTGGTCAATATTGATGCGTATAACCGTAAGCAGAATGGAAATTATCGAATGCAGTCGCTGGTAAAATATGGAGATCTAGGGTAGCTGTCGGAAATCAGATATTATCAAACCCAATGGTGTCCAAATTCCCCGAGGACATCAATCATTGCCCCATTGAGCTTGAGCAACTATTTAACGGCTGATTCGCATGCAAAGATCGGCGAGATAATCCCCAAGAGCATCCTTCGAGACTGACTGGGGCTGAGGTCGAGAACTCGCCGCCTCCGACAATGTGGTTCTTGGCCAGTATCAACATTATGAGGCCGAGGATCTTGGCAGCAGTAATACTTCATGAGATGGTGTTCTCAGCTAATGCTACATACTCATAGATATTTCGCAGTAACTTATATCAGACTTCTTGATCGATATTCGTATAATAGCCGCCAAAGCCGTGCTCATACCCCCAACTAACAAAAGCGCATCCATCCGGGACGTGGGGGACCAAATCCGAGCCGAAGTGCACAAGCCCGAATAATTAGCCTCCCGCCCTTTTCCTTGGCTGGCGGCCCGACACAAGCTTATCCCGTGGACATGGCCATGAGGGTAGGTTTTGAGGTCTCGTGATGATTTTATACAGTGAGAGACATTGGATCTTGGATCTCACTAAAGAAACTGTCACCGACTATTGATCGAAAGTGCGGAGATTTTGTCTTATCGTGATCCAACTTGTGATGTGACAACGTTGTGTTTCATCTGTATACAAAGCAAGTCAAGCCACTGCATCAGAAGTTATCATAATCATCATGCGAGAGCCTGTTCCCCCGAGGGGAGCAAGAAAACATCAGATCTTGGCAAAGGGTGTAAAGATAACATCGGCAAAAGCTTTCGCAAGTTTGAGCTGAATTACCTGAGTATTTTTGTCTTTTGGGATCGAGGTCCTGAGTTTTCTTGCCTGTCGTAGCCTGTCTGCCTGTCAAGCTTCACATCTCGGTGTCAAGGCTGCATGGATTTGGGTGAGTTGCTTATTTATTTGTTTACCCATAAAGGTGTTCGTCAAGGTTGTTTATTATGCATGTGTCGTACTCGTTCACTTCCTTACCTTACTCACGTCAATGGAGCCACGATCCATCTTGATACCAGTCATGACACTGTCTTGGCGCCATCGACCTTTTTTTTTTGTGTCTGAAGCTGAGAAACCCCTCAACAAAGGACAAGACCAGGTTTGAGGAGTTCCCGAGAATCGGATCCGACTATTGTGTTAACCAGATAGATTAATTAATTAACTAATTACGAGCTGAGTAATAATAACAAAAGAAAAGAGGACAAAGTGACAGGCAGGACACAAGACAAGACATGGGAAGGGAGACCAAAGCCCTTGTCAATCTCCAGTTACGCCTGAAACAATTCCACCCGTGGCCATATGTAATCAAAATCAAACCACTCAGAAGGGGTCCCAACCTCACTTGAACTGACAGATCCAAGGCATTTGCATATTCTTCTCATTTCAGCTGTCAACAGAAAAACCAGGTTTGGGGCCTATTGCATGCACGAGCTTCTTTGATGAGCTTGTCTCGGAGCTTTGAGTCACCTTACTCAGTGCTCACCTCACCCGTCAGCTTCGATAGCTAGTTAGTAGCCTCGCCGTGTCCGAGTTTCGATAATTTTTTTGCCATCCCGTCCATCCAATTCAGCCACCTACCTACATATTTGCCTGCTGCCAAGATCCACAATCTCATCCATTCTCATGCAGTAGATTCGGGGTTTGTTGACTGAAGAGGCGAGTGATGAACAGGTAAAAAGGAAAAATGGTTTGATGGGACAAAACTATTGCTGCGAACAAGATATTATTCCATCCAATGTTAGAGTCGCCAGAGAGGTTTGTGCTGTAGCTGTAGTCATCCATAGCTGGCTGTACGCTGTAACAACACATCCACTCGATCCTCCCTTTTGGTAACCATCCAATATCTTCTAAAGTCCTCACCAAGTTCTGTCGATTCCTCTTCTAAACTCATCATCACCATATCTGATTCGTCATCCTCATCGATAACCCTTCAATTCTAATGTACATCCTGCAAATCGAGATACCTGGCAATTCGATATCTTCATCACCTTCAAGACAAGCACATACCTAGTGTACCTTGCTGCAGCTCATCAGCTGTCTGTCCTGTCTGTCTCGCTGTCTGTCGGATCTCTCCACCGCCACACACGCACACAAACACACAGACCCTCCCCCAAAAACCCGCCCAAAGAGAGACCACCCCTGGCACGCCCGCCTAATTCGGCTTCCCCTACGGCCCCTACCATAGGTCACCTACAGCACCTCATCAGTGGAGGGACTCATCGGCCGAATGCCTGGGCTTTCAAAACCCGCCTAAAACCAAACCAGACCAGCCTCTTCACTCTTCACCCCATCCTCTCCGCTCCGTCTTTTCTCCCATCTCCCTCAACTTACCTCTGCAGCCGTTCCAACACCATCTCCCCCAAAATACCCTCTTCATTTCCATCTTCCTCTTTTTCTCATTTACTGGTGTTGTACGTATCCTCCATCCATAACGTCTGTCCTCGAACCTTGTCCTTTGGCCGTCGGAAATCGTTCCCCTGCAATCTCACGAGTAATCCTGCGCCAGACTCGCTCCACCGCGTCACGATCCGTTACGATACCCTCAAAATCCTGTCCGACTCGATCTACCTTTGACCAGTTCCCCCATCGAGGGGCTTGTCCATAGCATCATCGACCTCGCTTCCTATTGTGTTGTCTGTTAAACGTTGCGAATCTGGCTCGCTTTATTGTCGTCAAGCTTCAGGTCGCCACACCATCTCGACAAATTGGGGTCGTTAATAATCCCTCCCATATCATACCTCCGAAACCCGCCTCGACTATCCTTCAACATCATCAACCGCCAACATGAGGGAAGTCAATTTCAGTATCCCCAACGTCAATAAGGCGTCCGTCGGTATCACCACCGCCCTCTATGACCGCCGTGCTCTCGACTGCACCTCGACCCTCCCCCTCATCAACTCCCTCAACCATCTCGCCTATCTCACCACATCCTCTGCTCGCATCCGTGACATCCTCACCGTCGACGGAGGCATCGAGCGTCTCGTTTGCATTCTCAAGCAAGGCCGTAGTAAAGATATGATGGGAATGTGGAAGTGGAACCTTGCTTTTCAGTGTGTTGTCAATATCGGCGTCCGAGGCACGGAAAACGTCCGCACCAGAGTTGTTGAGGCTGACATGGTTCCTGTCATCGCTACCATCCTCGACAACTATACAAAAGCTGTTGATAAATGCCGCGAGAAGGCAGAGGAGGCCAAACAGAAGCAGAGCTACGACCATCACCGTCACCGAAGCCATGAACACCGTTCAACCCCTAAAGCTTCGTCCTCCAACTCAGCATCGGCCTCTGCCTCTGCATCATCTTCGTCTTCCACAACAGTAGGTGCCTCTGCGTTTGGTCATCGATCTAGTTCTCGTGTCGATGCCACTGAGCAGCGATCTCGTCGTCACGGCCCACCGCCGTCCATTGATGTCTCAGCCTCTTATGCTGGGCCATCCACCGCTGCTCCTCAGCAGCAGACGCAACAACAATCCACAGATACTGCTATGGGCAACTCTCAATGGTCTCAGTCTTCTTCAGATCGATCTACGTCTTGGGGTTCATCTCGTCACCAGCCCCTGAGAGGTCTTGAAAGCCGTCACGCCACGACTTCAGCCCCCCGTCAGGCCATGCAACCCCTTGCAACTGCAGTCCCCGCCACTGAGACTCTTGAGGGCTTTGTGAGACCTGTTCGTGATATCGACCGCCTTGCGTCGATGGCACCATTCGGCTCAGATCTGTTATCTCAACCCACATCACCGACTACGCCATTGCCGCCACCCCAGATGCGGTCGCCCACCGTTCGCCCAGCATCTGCTCTTGGCTCCCAACGTTCTCGTCGACGCCCATCGATCCGCCACCAGAACTCGACTGCCGATGCCGACGACATTAATGGAGACAGCATGCCGTCAGACGAGTCACCTGAGACGGAGATGACAGGTACTGACAACCTGCAGTCAGCTGTTGGTATCCAGGACATCACTATGGAAGATGGTGACACTATGCTCGGTGGTACAGCTCTTGACTTGGCTACACCAACTGTCTCCGAGACCCACCAGGAGGCCAGTACTTTCAACATTAACCACCGTAGCCCCATGGACGGAAGTATTGCCAACAACAACACCCCGACTCCGGTTCCTGCAATTGGCCTCTCACCTAACCGTCCTACGTTGAACACGCCCCCTCAGCCCCCTCTAGCCGCCACTACCGTCCCTCGATATCTTCTCGACCGTAACTTTGTTCCCAACCCTCAGATGGTCGCTGCGATGCCCCGAGAAGAGGATGTGCTCATGTCTTTGC